TTTATTTTTACAGGTTTGGCGCTGTATCTCCTCCGTAACAGCGAGATGTCTGGCAACCCTAAATAGATATCTCAACCATGACACATACGCAACAAATATCCCCGCGTTTTTTAATGTTTTTAGAACTTTTAACTTTTTAAAAATCGTTTGAATTGTTAAAGTGTATAATATCGATATATATATTTGTATATAATCTTTATAAGACTTCACAAGTATTTGTATTTTAAAAATCTAATAAAATTAAAAAAAGAGGTTGCCGGTGGTTGATCTCGAACCACGCCTTCTTTGCTCATAAGCTCAGCGCGCTAACCACTCCGCCATGTTAGGACGTTGACAACTGAAATTTTAAAGCTATATAAAAATTTTTAAGCGAAAGTAAAACTATAAAACTTAACACATGTTTTAGTCTGTTTTAACATTACATAATTTGAAGTTTACTTACGTTAGATATTTGCATACACTTTCGTTCACGTTTTCTTATAAAACAAAGCTGCTGCAACTCTTTCCCGCCATTACCTCGGTTGCAATGGCTGCCAAGAGTTCTGTGTCAAACAGGTTCGAAAGGGCGCAACTAATATTTAATTCAATATTTTTAAATAGATTATTTTTTAAATATAAATAAACTTAAAAATTTCAACAAAATTATTAGCAATTTTTTTTTAAGAGCACTTTTATTACATGCGTAACAAATCCATTTGTAAATTGTAGAATGTAGGGTTGAGCTTCTACCAAAAAAGTTTATCGGTTAATCGTTTATATTATTTTATCAATATACCACTGAAATTATGTCGCTAAATTTCGGTAAATAATGATTTTTATAAAACCTAAGAACATTTATAAATTATACATTTATATTTTTATAAAAACCTAAGAAAATTTTCCAAAATAACCAATTGAGCATCGGTGGCACAGCAATTAGAGTTCGGAGGTTCAACGCCAACTTTAGCCCAATACGTAACATTGGTGAGGAAAGAGGTGTGAATTTCCTTGTTAAATATCCGCGGTGCTCTGTGATAACACCATAAAGACTTCTGGGAGCTCCTCATTAAGTAAAAAAAAAAAAAATTAAAGCAGCGACTTCAGACTTACAGCACTGGGTGGATTTATTTTCCGTGTCGTTATTAAAAGCTTTTTGACTTGACCTGCAATGTGCAAAAAAAGGCATGCTTTTTCAAAAATTAGCAGGTGAGCATTAAAAGGTTTGCAGTTGAGCATTAAAAGGTTTTCAAAACATGAAATGTAAGGTTTGCAGTTGGCGTGAGAAACACCCGTAAACTCTTTAAGATTTTACTGAAAGTTAAAAAACGGTTTTTGATTACACTGGACGAAAAAACTACTTTGAAAAAATGAAGATGCACGAAAATTAATATTCATCGAAAACACGATTACTGAAATCTAGGCTTGATTCTGGATCTCTGTTGGCTGAAAAGGTTGCAACAGTTGTCACAGAAAGAGTAAGCAAACGTGGGTTAAGCATTGATGAAAGCATTGTGTGCTCAGTTACGGTTGGAACTTCCATGATGGTTAAGTTAAAAAAACTGGTCTTAACTGAGCATCAAACGTGTCACTCACGGGAAATGCATTTTAGGGTTCAAAAAGTGCTATACAAGAACACTTTCCGATAAATTTCGATGTTATTGGTAATTCCATGGATGAAAATGTTCGCAATCCAAAAGTGAATGGACATTTGCAATTTTTCATTACAAAAGTCAAAAATATTGTCATGTGACTTAAAAAATTAAAAATGATTTTCTCCAAAAAAAGGATTGAGAAACAGCTCGGAAAAAATTTTTTTTACGTATCTTTGACTGCAGAACAAGATGAAACAGCTCCTGGTTTAACAGATTCCTAAAGATAAAGGTTTCTCCTCATTTGACTGGCAGTGATCACAAAGTTTTTTTTTAGTGATGATAACACTTTATACGACGTTGATGCTGCTCTTGAACCAGTCAAATTGGCGGCTGAGCCATTTATCAACAAAATTCAACCCTTCTTACAGCTTGAGGAATTTTTAAGTTTCTTGTGACCAGACTAAAACAACAAAATTTAATTCTTTGCATTTCAATAAAGAGTGCAGTTTTGATACGTTTAGTGAGTAATCTTGTAAGCTTGTACATAAACTTTTCAAATCCATAATGTTTATCCGACATTGAAGAACATAAAGTTTTTAAAATGATTGCGAAGCCTGTACTTCGAGAGAATGCTTAAGATTTGTTGACTAGGTTTTTTCCAACATATCCACATAACTTAAAACTCAAGAAGTGTGTGGCTCAACAAAATTTGACAAAAACCCTCTTTTACTTAAAGTTGAATTTGAGGATGCAATATAGAATTCACGCACAAACAGCGCCAAAAATCAAATAAAAAAGTCGAAACCAATTCAAAAGAACTTTTTTTCAAAGTACTGGAGACTCTGCATTGAACCAAACATCGAATATTGAACATATTTATCCAATAAGAATTGTGTTTGAGCGAACCTTTTTTACTGCTGATTTTTTTGTGACAAAAATTTGATCCAGAATGACAACTTTCTTGATAAACTTTGTTTCCTCAAAGCTCATTTTTAATAATATTTAAATTATTTAAAAAAATATTAGATCTAAATCTTATAAAGATTATATATAATATATATATATATATATATATATATATATATATATATATAATATATATATATATATATATATATATATATATATATATATATATATATATATATATATATATATAAGTTTTATATATATATATAAGTTTTATATATATATATAAGTTTTTATGACTGTTTAATTTTTTTTACCAATTTTACCAATATTTACCCATAAATTGTGCATTTTTTACTGATTTACTGGTAACTTTAAAATGTATGTAAAAGCTAAACCACAGTTCATAGTACGCAAACAATAAAAAGTATAGAATTCTATAGGTTTTATAATTAATTTTCATTTACTATATACAAATTAATATAAATAAATACATAATAACTATTCAAAAAAAATTTTATAAACTTTTGAATAACTTAGAAGTTTTATGTTCAAAACAAGTGTTAAAAATTGAAAATTTTACTTTTGTTGCATTGGAGAAAAAATCAATTAAGTTGTCAGGTTTTGATCATATTTTTTTATATCATATTTTAAACAAATTATCATCTTAAAAAGACTAGGCCATAAGACATATGTTCTTGACCGCAAACAACATAAATTTGTAACTCAAAATTTCTAATGAAGCAAACTTTTTGAATTAAAAATCCAGGTTGCATATAAGAAAAAATAAGCAAAGGAGCGATAAAATAATTTGATTTGCTCCAAAGGAATTTGTGTTACGCCACAACAAATATATACGGTTCTTTTCCTGTTGTGGGTTTTTAGTGTTTTAATTATTCAGTACAACTTGCTTTGATCTGTTCAAAATTCAAGAAACAGTAAGAAAAGTATGCGTATACCTAGCAACACTAGAACGCTCACGCGTCTTATTGTTCCATGGTATACGCATACTTTCCAGGATTTATTCAAAACTAGTAAAAATAAAATATTTCAAAAGACACTAAACCATATTGTATGTGTATTAAAATCATAATGTGTATAAATGCAAGTAAAAAACTAATTACGAACTAATTAACATTTTAATTTACGTTTTGTATTTTTAAAAAAATGACATTTTCTCAAATGCAATTTGTGCATTCTAAAGATACTATAAGATATAAAGCTTTTAAAATGGTATACATTCATACTAACTATAAACTACTTTTTTGACAGCCTTTACCTGAGAAAAACCATAAAGTTTTAAAAGGACTTTGGTTCTAACTTTTAAACTAAAGCAATGATATTGATAATAAAGTTGTACTTATTTTATGTATCACAGAATACATATTATCTGTTCAAAATTAAAAAAATAAAAAAAAAGCACATTGTGTCTTAGTTCTGCTTGATAAACCAGGGGCGGATCAAGCATTTTTTGATCTTTGAGATATCTAATTTATACTTATTTCAAACAAATGTGCTTTGAAAGAAACTGCGGTTATTGGAGCTTGGGAACAAATAATCCCCAAAATTTTTGTTCCCCTCCTGTCCCAAACGTGAGAGCATCAAGTTGATTAAATATTTTTTGTGCTATTTTGAACAAGACTTACTTTCGTCGAGAAATTGTAAGTTTCATTGTATTATTTCTCAGCGTTCAAAATTCATGACCATATAAAATATAGTATTGAACAACGTTAACTTGGAAAATCACATCAACTCAGTTGCAGCAAAAACCAATAGAACGGTTGACTAAATAAAGAACACTTTTTGTCGTTTAGATGAAAGTTTAATGAAATTTTTTTACAAGTCATCAGTTTATTTGCACCTGTAATATGCAGCATTTGTATGGAATTCTTATTACCAAAAAGAGATTGATAAACTCGAAAACAAGGTATGGCTAAAGGAATAACTAGTTTAAAAAGAATTTGATATGAGAAGATTTAAGTTGATTACTTTAAAAACCAGTTGAGCTATATTATGTATTATTAATAATTCATTATAAAATAAATAAAAATATATAGATAAAGTTTAATGGAATTGTCCTCCTATATTAACTCAGGATGCAACAACAACAAAAAATTGGCGCATAGATGCACTTATTTTATCATTATTTAACTTTATTTTTTAAAACTTGACAGTAAATCTGATAATAACGATATTTGTTAAAACATTTTTTTTGTAAATAACTAATTATATTGATGTTTCCCTTTTTTTAAAATACCAAAAAAACAACGATTTAAGCACTAGACTCTTTAAAATATAAAAATAAATTTTTTATTCTATGTTTTTTTTTCTAATTTATTATCTATTTTGTCTTCATTGTCGCTATTTCCATATATTTTATTTAAACGTTACTTTTTAATGCTTAGCAAAAATTCGCGGATTCTTAGTCCTAAATGCGTAAGTATTAAGTTGTTGCATTTTATTGACATTTTTTTGGGGATTTTTAATTCATTTCCAAATAATTTATTATTTTAAATATTTTCTTACCTTTTCATCCTTGGGAATGACCATTTTTGTTTTCATTTCTTTCTCAACTAACAAAGTTTTATTTTCAAGTTCTTCCATTTTTTTTGTTGTTAAAACGTGGTTTTAATTTCTCATTTCCTGCATAATATAACATACCTCACAATATTGATAAATAATATTAATAAAAACTAAGATAAAAAATTATATATATTACATGTAATATATATGATTTTTCATTTTTTATCTGTGTAGTTTTATCTGTGTATACACAGATCAATACGAATAAAGTATAAATTATACTAAGATAACATTTATAAGCATATATTTGCATTCACAAATTTAAACCCAAAGCAATTTTTTTCTACCAACCAAATAGACAAGGGATTTTAAAAAGATGTCTTTTGAACGTTCAAAAGACGCCATAAATGTTTAAAAGCTGTTCAATAATCGTCTTTTTTACGTCCTGTGCTTTAAGAGAATATTGCCTTCAAGTAACATCTTCAAGTAACTTTTAAAATCATCAATTATCAGCTAAAATATTGTTCTGTAAAATATCTATATTTAAATGACATAAAGGAAATATGTAAGATCCATAAAGTAAATGTGAAAAACGTAATTCAGGTTAAGAAGAAAGTGAGCATTAGCATTTTCGAAAGTATAATTCCTGAAGATACTTATCAACAGCGAACAACTTTCAAATATACCCTTGAAGTGAAATATACATTCTGAAATGATTTTATTCTCTTTTTATATATCTTAAACTATTTTTATGTATTTGTAAACATATTTACAGAAGATGTTTAATAAAATAGTAATAATAATAACAATAATAAAAATAATAGCAACAATTATAGTAATAGCAATAATAATAATAATAATAATAATAATAGTAATAATAATAATAATAATAATAATAATAATAACAATAATAATAATTGCAATAATAACAATAATAATAATAATAATAATAATAATAATAATAATAACAAAATAGAAAAAAAAAAGTTTAGTACGTTTTATTATTTATAATGAAATATAAATAACTATTAGAAAATGATTTTTCAATAATATTAACTCAAGCTTAATAAGTAAAGTTATCTATAGCGAAGATTTAATGAAAATTTTTTTGTTAATTTCTTTTTAAAAAAACTGCAAATTAAGTTAAGTAAGTTGTAAAAATAACCATATGTGGTTACTTTTATTACTTATTTAACCTTACATAAAATTTTTTTAAAATTCAACGCAGTCAATACTGAATTAATTTATTTTCCAGATCAAGGAAGTTTTTATGAAGACTTTTGAAAAACTTTTTGAAGAGTTATTCAGCTTTAACTTATTTTAGAAAAGGAATGTGACCTTAGAGTGCGTCGTTTATCTTTTGTCTATTAAATTTTATAAATTTAGTTTATTTTGGTAAAAGATTTTTTAGAGTTTCAGAAAATGCAGGAAAAAAAAAAAAAAAAAACTCGTTTTAAAACAATTGTTCATTAGTTATTATTACCCAGCAAGCCCATACAGTTTCGTTTTCGGAATTAAAACCTGTATAGACACGTATTTGTTAGGAACCAAAAACACGTTTATTTCTTGAGGAATAATATCATATATAATTATAAAAAAATATTTTTATATAATTATATATGATTATTATTGAAGTTTATAATAATAAATATTATCTTTATTAAAAATTAAATAGATAATTTATTTTTTTAATGTTAATTTTTTACAGGTTTTAGATATAAAGAAAAGGAATAAAAATTGACACATTCTACTAGAAATTCTTAAAAATATTATGTTCATAAAAAAATTGACGCGTAGGTTTACTTTTAATAATATTTTTTTAACTTTTTTTTATCTTATTTTTTACATTAAACTTATTTTTTATCATTTGACAGTTATTCTGATAATATTAATATTTGATGACTAAAATATTTTTTGGAAGTTAAAAGTATTAAATTGATTTTAAAAATATTTTTAGTTTTCCCCTTTTTAAGTATCCACAAAATCAACAACTTTAAAAACAAGTTTTTTTTTTTTTTTTTTATAGAAATAGTTTTTCTTGTTATTAATAGAAGTAATTTTAGCTTTTCTGTTTGATTTTTTATTCTATATAAATTTTCTTTAGTTTTCTATATTTTATTTAAGTTTTACTTTTCAACTCTCAGCAAAAATTCACGGATTTTTTTTGCTAGAAAAGCATAAGTAATTAGTTTTTTGTCGCATAGATATATGAAAGGTTCCTATGATAGTATACTTAACTTTAAAGATTCATTATTAAGTATCCTGAAGACCAAAAATAAAAATGTTAATATAGGTACATTCCTAGTAACACGTAGAACAATAACAACCCTCAAAATTTTTATCAGTTTTACTTTTTTGAAAGTTATTTCATTTTTTATAAAAGTACGAGTATGCCATCATAGGCAACCAACTGCTTCTATGATAGCATACTTTTAATAAATAAACAGAGCCTGCTTTTTATTTTTTACCAATAATAATACAAGTATACTCTTCGAAAATATATAAACAAAGTTCAGATATAAGTTTTCTTCGTTTTTTATTTACGCCTGCGCATAAACAATGTAACCAAGAGTTGCACTTTTGGCAGCAAATCCAAGGTTCTTTGGAATAAGACTGTGAATAAAATTCTTCACAAAACAAACAAGCTGTATCAGATACAAAATCAATTTTATTGAGTATGTATTATTTACTTGTATTATTTACATCAGTGCAACAGTTTTTTCTTTTTCAATTATACTCGCTCGTTTTTCTTTTTCCTTATTATCATTTCTTTTTTTTTTTTTTTTTTTTTTTAAATTTTACATTTGTTGGTCGTATTACAACTATTTACAACTATATATTGCCAAAAAAAAAAATAATGATAATAATAATAAACTTTCACAAATATAAAATAAGGTATTTGAAAGAAGCTCAAAGGATCTTGTCGTCAGAACCTTAAATAAGTTCAAACAAGCATTAACAGTATCAAATTTTTACAAATTTCATATATATATAATCCAAATATATATTATATAATCCAAAGAAAGATCACGCGGATCTACTCACCAATATTTTATATAAACGTATAGGTTAAGTAAAGAATATAAAATCAACAAAATAAGTAAGAATAAACTTTTTACAAATATAAATAAGAAAAGGCAAAGTTATTAATTCATATTATAATTAATAACATAATACGTCATCTAATGAAAAAATTAGGGTTTTTAATTTACTTTCAAAAAAACGAAAAGTAATGGGTAGTTCGAAGTCAAAATTGGGCAAAGCAATTTTATTCCAAAGGTGTGGTGCCCGATAGGCAATACAAAATTGATTAAAGTTCGCTTGACAGAAAGGTTCATTTAAAAAACTGTATTTCTCAAATTGTAATTGTTGATAGGTTTCGGAATAAAAATATCTTTGAAGACAGATTGAGACAAGTCATTTTTCCACATGTATACAAAGCATAAAACATTATATATATTAAGCTCGTACATATTTAAAATTCTCATTTCAATAAAATAATGTTTTGCGTGAGAATAGCGATTTGCAAAGCAGATTAAACGGATAGCATGTTTCTGACGGCGATAAAGACGTTGCAACTGCCCCAGGCGATATTAGCATAATTTAAATAACTGTGTATAAATGAATAATAAAGTTTGATTGAATTTTTATTATTGAGGTAGATTCGTGCTTTTTGTAAAACTTAGTGCTTATGTAGTCGATATGATGATTCCAATTGATGTTTTCATCAAGATAAACACCTAAAAATTTTGTTACAGAATCCCTTTTTATTTCATTTTGATCAATAAAAATTTTAGGTAAGTTTAATGGTAAATACCGTTTTTTGGAAAGCGAATGGAATAAGGTCCACTTTGTTTTATTAGAATTTAGAGTTAACTTATTACATTTAAACCAACTCAATACATGTATAAGCTCTTTGTTCATTGTTTTAAAAAGTTCAAAGATATCACTGTTAGAAAGGAATAAGTTAGTTTTCAAACATAATACTTGTTAGTTTAGAGGTTTTATTTAAATCATTCATATAAATTAGGAAAAGGAGTGGACCAAGAATTGAGTCTTGCGGGACTCCACATGTTATAGAAAGACAATAAAAAGTCCTAGAGTATATTGTGATTTTTCAAATGATTTTGAGATTTCACGTACAAATTGGATAATTGCATGTTCAGTTGAGCTATCCTTTTTAAAACCGAATTGATTATGTAAAGTAATTTATTAACATGAAAATATTTGTATACTCTGTTATATATAATTCTTTCTAAAATTTTCGAAAATGTGGAAAGAACAGAAATAAGGCAATAGTTACTAATAATTGATTTGTCCCTTTCTTTAAAAATAGGAATAACTTTGACAATTTTTAACAGTTCGGGGAAAACACTTTGATGGATAGAAGCTTTAAAAACTTTGAAAAGAACAAATTTTATCTGTTCAAAACAATTTATAATAACGTTTCAATTTATTTGATCTGCTCTAATTGCTTTATTTTTTTTTAACGATTTGAAGGCTCTTTCAAACTTTTCAAACAATAATTCAGAAGACAACTCAACTGAACCAATGCAAATATCAATGGGTACTAGAAAATCAGTAAATAAAGATTTGGTCTTAGGGATTTTTTTAGAAAGTGCTGGACTTATATCGATAAAAAAATTGTTAAATTATTGAGCTATAGTTCTTGGTTCGTATAAACTTTTGTTATCGACTCAAACCATTTGTGGCAGAAAAACTGAGCATGATTTTTGTTTTCCAATAATTTCATTCATTATTTGCCATGTGCGTTTTGTGTCAATTTTAAATGTATTGAGTAATTGGGAGTACTAATTTTTTTTTTTAATTTTTGCAAATTTTTTCAAATAGATTTTTGTAGTCCTTGTAAATTTTTTTGTTTTTAGGTGTTTTTGTTTTCAAAAAAATTATATATAGTTTTTGTTTAATTTTGGACGATTTTTTAAAGCCCTTAGTGATCGAGGGTGTGTTGCAGCTCTTAGTAGTTGTTTTATTTTCAATGATTGGGAAATTAGCACCGTATACAGAAAAAATTGTTTTGAAAAAAGACTTATAGATATTGTTCGCATTATCATTAAAATTTATGTTATTCCAGTGCAGTAATGAAAGTTGATTTTTGA